AAATTGATCAAAAGAAAAAAATGTTTAAGAAAGAAAAACCTGTAAATAGATCAAGGTCTGATTTTTGAGATCCAGGCGTGTCCTTCAGTCAGGTCCAATGGGGTGCCACGCTCTGGCCCCAGAGTCTGTCCTTTGTACTCCCTCAGGGGCTCCCTGCTCTGCTCCCAAGGTTGCTCTGCAGCATGCCTTCAGTGGTTTGCCTCGGGGTCTTGGGGTTAGTCTGGGCCAGTCCTGACACTGAGTCTCCAGTGTTGTCCCCCTTAGGGCCCCAGGCCAGCAAGGGACGGTGTGTCTCATAGTGGGATCAGCCATATGGTCCACTCTGTGCATTGGCTGTTCAGAGCGGGGATAACGTCCTCCAGGCCTAGTGGGCCAGGATGTGCTCCACTCTCTCTTCCTCCCCCTTCATTTTCTCCCATGCTCTGATCAGAAATGCCCCTCTCCCCTAGCTGCAGCTTCAGTGCAATCCTCTACAGTAAATTCTTCTGGGAGGAGGGGCAGTTGTCCACATAGCTGATAGGGGAGCTGAGCCCTCCAGCCTCTCCACTGGCTCCCCACTCCTTGCCAGTCATGCTGCCTTTGTCTGGCACTGGCTTTAAGTCTGGATAGACACTTTAAAAAATTTTTTTAAATATTTATTATAAATGCATTTTAGGAAACACAAATAGAATCTACTACATAGCTATTCCCAGGAGTAAGGAATTATTGATAACTTGGTTACTAATATTTGATTAAAAGACAAAAATTCCTATCACCACTTTCTCCCAACCCCCAAATCAAAGCTGTATTCCTTCTGAACTCTCAGTTAAGAAATCTACCTTTAAACAATAGTGAACCAAGCGATTATTAGGGGTAGCTGCTATCTACCTTCCACGTACTTAACCTCTTAACCCTGCCCTAAAGTTTCCCTCCTTCATCTTGCTGCAGGTAAAATGACAAACGTATTTTCTAATGGGCACTAAAAATTAGGAATATGAGTGCTGAAGTAAAAACTCAAAATGGCTTTTGAATTTAAGTGGAACTAATTACTAAGCACTAACTAAATGCTATGCTTCATGTGCCTGATGACACGAACGTCTAAATACAAATGTTTTAGGAACAACATGTTAACAATAAAATGAAACATTACCAATGAAAGTGAATATTATTGATAAAACCATGCATGTGAGTACATTTATATATTTATATTTACATAAGATCCAGTTTATTCACCTCATGTCATGTTGTGTGTATGTGCACAGACAGACAGACATACACTAAGAAGGCTCCCATTTACAATGTGCTTCCATACGTTTGTTTTTTTCAGTGGTTGGAATTGGGATGCTGTATTTCTTTTTGTGTGTGTGTGACACTTTTATTAAACAAAAGTAGAAGCATTTGAAGCTATTGTTACTTAATACAACCTCCCATCTAGATCTATCCACTTCTGAAAACTTCCCCTAGAATTCTGCGCTCTGTGATTGATACCACTTCCAAACAGCAGTTGTGGCACACCCAAGGGAGTCAAATCCCGCTCCTTTGAAATGGTCTTTGAGTTTGGGGCACAAGAAGAAGTCAGAGGGGGCCAGATCAAGGCTGTCGAGTGGGTGGAAGGAGGTTTCATCTGAGACTTTATGAAAGTCTTATAGCACAATTCTGGTTACCCTCAAAGAATGAACAGGTGCAAGGGGAACATTCCTCCATTCAACTTTCCTGACATTTTTCCCACCCATGTTGTTCTCGGTTTTCCGAAAACTTCTTGTGATCATCCATGTCCTTCAAGAAAATCTACCAAGATTACCCTTGAGAATTCCAGAAAGTAGTTGCCACAATCTTCTCTGCCTTGAGTTGATCTGGCTCAGCACATTCCCTTGGAAGTCACCATTTCCATTGGACCATTTGATTCAAGACCCTCTTTGGAGGATAACTCAGCAGCCTGCAGGGGCAGTGCTGCCTGTCCTGTAGGGTTGCTATGAGTCAGAATCAACTCCATGACACTAAGTTTGGTTCAGGAG